GCTAAAATCAGTCAAATACTTTTGTACGTTCATAAAAAAATATACAAAATATTTTGGACAATTAAAAACAAAGCATTAATAAAGAAATTAATGCTTTAATAAAATTTTATTCATTTCATTTACATCGTAGAGCAGCTAATTCCAATATTTAATGTTGACATTAAGTATGTATTGATAAGGCGATGTAGAAAATATGTAGATTTGCTGACGCAGACAAAAATAATAATTTTTGTCTGCGTATGTTATGGATACATAAGTATAAAACGGCGCAAATCGTTAGAATGAATTAGTCAGTTTCATGCTTGTGATTTCGAATAAGTGCTAGTTGCTAATGATACTAATAGGCTAATAAGTATAATAAGTATTTATTTTTTATAACTGCATTATATATTGATCGTACAGTAGCTAATTGCAGTGTTCAATGTTAATATGAATAATGTATTGTGTTGTAGCTCCGAGTGCTACCACGATTTAGTTCTGAATTTTAGCGTAGCAACAGGCTTACGGAAATGTAAGACTATCAAAAAGCAATCTTTGCATTTCGGCATGACAACGGCACGCGGAAATGCAAGGCTGCGAATTTGACAGCGCGTGCGGGTTAAAATCGCACACGCGCCGAACAATTCCCGTGACCATATATGGTCACGGCAGGAATCGTAATAGGACACCGCGATTCCTTTATATTCGGCTGCCTAATCGCAGACCGGAGAGTTCGAGTTCAAGTTCGTTCCGATAAGAAAACCTAACGAGACGTTACGCGCGCCGCGAACGCCGGTGTCACCTTACAACTGCGACATCGACCATCTTGACCATCATCGCGAGCGCGAACGCAATCACTAAAGTAAGCCACGAAATACTTACACAAATATCTAATACAATATTTAATCGAATCTTGTAAAAGGGGTTTTCTAATAAAAATAGTGAAAAGTCGTGAAGTGAGTGTTCTCTCATTACCCCTCATGCACCCTCCTTAGCGCTTCTCGTGGGTCCCAACCCTTCAGGCGGACCGAATCCCCAAAATTATATCTTGTTGCACCGAACGATACAACAATTGCAAAACATTGGTCTTATTAATCTAGGCGGAAAATAGTATTTAACTGTTAGGATTTGATGAAACAGTATATTAATAATTTACTAACATTTTTGAAATATTTGTAGGAAGACATCATTTATACATTGTACAAAATTGTTTTTTTCTTGTTCAATAAATTCCTTTGAAGAATAACCAATAAGAAGGTATCAAATTTATTATGAAATAGACAATAAAAACTTTTTTCTCTCTTTCTTTTAATAATTATATTGGAAAGGGACATGTAAATATGTAATTTTTAATCTATAAGGAGATCTTTGTTAACTTGAAATTGTTACACGATTGTAATATTTATAATTTTTAGAAAATAATGCAGTTTAATCCACGAAATGTAATAATACTGCTGTCTGCAGTATTTACTGCCGTGGACTTCCCCGAAATTTCTATAACATCAGAAGAAGTTATGATGAAGAAAAAAATGGAAAAGATATCAATCGAAATGTAAGAAGATTACTATGAAATCGAAGAAGAATCGCTGAGTTTTTTAAACTTATATGATGTACCAGAAGCACAAGAAATAGAACTCGTAGATGAAGAAGAAAATTACGCATGCAATGTAAAAGAAATGGTTAGTGACATCGACGATATTTCAACAGAATATAAAAGAGAAGCAGTTGAATATTGGAGAAGTGGTAAGTCAAAGCCAAGAATCTGTAAAATCAAAATTTCGGAAAGTAGCGTCAGCAAGACAATTACGACAATGGGAAAAGCAAATGAATGTAGATGGTAATAGACTTGAAAAGTTGGAACGAATTTCAGCAATCACGTTAGATAAATTCATTGAAGTGATGTGTAAAGGGACATTAATCCATGATAATGATATTACACGATGGGTTTTGCAAGCGCAACAACAAGTAAACTTATTAGGTTTTAAAGCATCACACGAATGGGTTAGAAGATTTAAGCTCGCGCATCAAATTGTATCTAGAAAAATTACAAAATTTATAACTAAAAAAGCTTTAATGTCAAAGGAAGCTTTACAGGCAGACAGCAATAGGTTTATTGAAAATGTTAAATATTATATTGATCGCTATGGAATTGAAAATGTGTATAATTCGGACCAAAGTGGTTTTCAATTAGAATTACATGCTGGTCGTACATTGGCACAGAAAGGTGTAAAAAAGGTAGAGTCTGTAGCACAGTCAATATCTGCGATTACTCACAGTTATACAATACAATCTGTTATTTCAGCCAATAGTAGATTATTATCTGCACTTCTTATAGTGTTAAAAGAACCTAGTGGGACATTAGGTCCTAGGGTACAAGAAACGATGTTTACTGCAAATAATATTTTTATTATGTCGTCAAATCTGGTCAAAATCTGGTAAACTAACATCTAATCATTTTGAAACTTGGGTAAGGGAAGTATATTTTCCAAATTCAGTTTGTTAGATTCATGGACTGGTCATTGTCCGGATATAATTCAAAGAAATATACCAGATTCTGCACAAGATATTGTTTTATTAACTATACCTGCTGGAACAACAGGAAAAATACAACCGTTTTTGGATTCCGTTTATGGAAGAATTTCATCAAGCATTTTTCAGATGTAGTCATGCTTTTAAATCTTGATGTAAAGCTTCATTCTAGAACGCTATTTTAAAATTACAGTCATTAACGCACAATCAATTTTCATAGCCAAGATTTACTAATTTGTTTAAATACGCTTGGTACAAAAGTGGATATTTGGAACATAGACCAGTAGAATTTGATACACCAGTCGATTTTTGTTTTAAAAAATATTCGAAACCAACATGCGATATTTGTGGTGAAATAGCTATAATTACTTACGCATGGTGCAAAAAGTCTCTCTGTATAACGCATTTTTTTCATAATCATCATATTTGTAATCAGTTTGAACCATAAATATTGCAATGAGACAGGGATTGTAAAAAACATTGTAAAAAGCATTTATATTGAGTTAATTTTGTATCTTTGTTATTTTATTATAAAACATATTTATAAAACATATTTTTTTAAAGAATACTGGTAAGATTTTTGACAGTTTTCCTTACCCTTGCAACAAATGTTGGTATTCTTACGATTCTGCTAAATAAAATGTTTTTCTGACATGCACAAATAATGGTTACAAATTTCCTCCTATCTACCTCAATCCTTGATAATTTTATTCGTCCGATTTTCGTAACATTTCATTTCAGTACGATTTCCTCGATTAACAAATTCTGGTATTAGAAAAAATTCTATTGCACCTCGACTTCGACAATGACTTCCAGAATGTACTCGTAAATTATTATCAGCATTCAACGATAAATTGTTTTCTTCACTATTAGCTGGACGTCTCTGACACTGATTGTAAAATAGGATATGCAAGGTTACACGGGTTATTATAATGCTTCTGTACACGCTGTGTCAATAAGTTAAATTTATTTTATTCGCGCCATGTAAAATTCGTAATTCCGCCTCACGCAAATTCCCTAGTCGCGCTGTAAGCTACCTCGCTTCCCTAGTCACCGGAACGCGTCGCGCGATTACTAGATCGTCGCCTAATTGGCTCGAGCGCCTTCGTCACCTCTCGTGCGTTTTCGTATTAGCTGCGTAGAATCCTGCGCACAGTATAAGTTTAGTTCCGTCGTTGTAAAAGGAGAACGCCGACATGTTTTGTTAAAAAGTTTTCTGTTCAGTTGTATCTTCTCATCCATACGAGCATACTAAGCTCTTTTCTGGTACAGCAAATAAAGATATTTAGCTCTCAAGCGGCATTCACATCGATTACTATAGTGCACCACGCAGTACAGCCACAAGGCATTGAAAATGAGAAAAGGCGCGTTACACTTAACGCAAGAGGCACAATCTCATAATTAACATAATGGTCCTTCGAGCCGGATATGGAAGATTGAGAAGATACTGAGAATACCGAGGATTACGGAAATAGATACATACATACAAACGGGTATCATAAAATAATCGATGTCGACAAGGCATAGGTTAATGCACAAGCATAAAGGATATACAACCAAACGCACTGTAAGTACATCTCGCGGTTACTTGAGGTTATAGCATAAAGATAGCACTCGCGCTAACAAAAACGACGAAGCTAGAAAGGTTAGTTGTCATATCACTACACTAACGAGTACATTCAAATATTATCACTTACTATATCAACACTATTTTTGCGCTAAGTTTATTGTTGTAACGGGCAACCAGTATATAGCATAACCAAACCAAAGCTCGAATCACCAACTTCGTTCGCATGAGCAAGTTGCATTGTCTACAAGGCAATCAATAAGTTATCTCGCACGAGAATCAGCATCTCACAATGGACGCGTTAACATTAACGGAAGCCAAGGCTAAAAGAGCCCAAGTAAGAGCAGCAGCCACAAGGCTAAAAACTTTCATAGAAAATCTTGATCCAAATCATGCATCACGGCACGAAGTTATTGAACGTAAGAAAAAGTTACAAGAATTATGGTCCCTGTTCGACGCGGTTCAGTCACGTATCGAAAGTCTGGAAAACGTTGATCCCGCAAACGCTGACAAGGACGCTCTCCGTGCCCAGCAATCACAAACCGGGAAAGTTTCGAAAATCCTTATTTTCAGTTAATAGTACGTTATGAAACGATAATTGAGCAGATTAATCAAAACTCAGTTCCAACATCTTCCCGTTCCGATAATGAACATGCACTCGATACAAGGAATAGAGAAACTCGCGTAAAGCTGCCCAAAATAAATTTACCAGTTTTTTCAGGTTCTTACGAGGATTGGTATTCTTACCAAGACACATTCGAAAAACTAATCCATTTAAATGAAGGTTTAAGCGAAATCGAGAAATTCCATTATCTCCGGTCTTCACTAAAGGATAAGGCTGCAGAGAAATAAAGTCTGTAGAGATGACGACTGACAATTATCACGACGCTTGGACAGCAGTCAAGGAAAGATTCGACAACAAGCGATGGACATCCAAAGGCACATTCAAGTAATATTTGACGTGCCTGCTCTCCACAAGGAAAATCATGCAGCTCTCCGAGAATTGCTGGACACTATCCTCAAACACTTGCGCGCCCTTAAGGCTCTTAAGAGGCCTACCGAAACGTGGGATGATCTAATTATCCACGTAATCACTTCTAAACTTGACGTATCCACCAATAAGGCGTGGGAAACTAGTATTCTCGATGCAAACATACCTAACCTAAAAATGTTAACAGATTTCTTGTCGAAGCGATGCCAAGAGTTAGAATCTATACAAAGTAGGGCTCTTAATAATCAGACAAGTAATGCTGTTCATAAGCAAGTCGGCAAACCAAAAAATACTTCAGTCACAAACATTGCTACTTCCAATCTCTCTTGTGCATGTTATAAGGCTAATCATCAAGTTTATCACTATGAAGAATTTCTCAAGTTGCCAGTAGAGGAAAAATTTAAGGTCACGAAAAGAGCCCACCTTTGTATTAATTGTCTAAGGTCCACAACGCACCAAGCAAAATCATGTAATTCAGGCACATGCCGCAAATGTAGTAAGAAACACAACACTTTGCTACACTCATCTAACCCAAACATTTCGGAACAGTCCATATCCAGCGCGAAAACAGAACAATCCACATCAAATTCATTGAGCACCTTAAATCAAAACAGCAATGTTCCTCTTCCAGTATCTACACAATGTACATCAAGTCATCGTTCTCTAAACATTTTATTATCTACCGCAATTGTAAACGTATACGACTTAAACAGCACATCTCACTCATGTCGTGTACTACTTGACAGTGGTTCTCAAATGAACTTCATAACACAAGAACTTGCCAATCGCTTGCAGCTTAAAGAACGATCACTTGAGATCTCCGTAGCGGGAATCATGGAAGGAACAGTTCAAGTAAATAAGTTTGTTAATGTATGCGTCAAATCGCGATTCAATAATTTTAGCGACAATATAGATTGTGTAATATTACCTAGGATAACCCAAAACTTACCTCAGAACTTTATACCCATGCAAAATGTGTTTATTCCAAACAATATAAAATTAGCAGATCCTAATTTCAATGTACCCTCAAGCATTGACATGCTGATAGGTGCAGAACTATTTTGGCGAATCATGTGCGGGAGTCAGATCAGACAATCTAATAATGTACCAATTCTACAAAAAACACATTTTGGATGGATTATTTCAGGCGTTACGACAAATTTCACAGCTAAACTCCTCAGGTTAGTTTTCATTCAACGGCAATAGATGACCTAAGTAATATACTAAATCGATTTTGGGAAGTTGAGCACAACATAGCACAACAACAATTTCCAAGTGAACAACAAGCCTGCGAAAAGTTGTTTCTAGAAGGCGTAAGGCGAAACAAGGAAGGACGTTTTGTCGTCACACTCCCAATAAAACAAGACAAGCTAAGCAACCTAGGAGAATCTCGTGAGATTGCTCTACGACGATTTACGGCTTTAGAAAAACGTCTCATAGCCCAGCCCAACATGTACAGCGAGTACAAGAAATTTATGCAGGAATATCAAGACTTGAAGCACATGCAAGAAGTTACCAACTATTTGGGGCCCGACTCAACTAATCAAGCATTCTATCTTCCTCATCATGCCGTCCAAAATGAAACAAGCACCACTACCAAATTTAGAGTCGTGTTCGATGGCTCATGCAAGAGCACCACTGGTATATCATTGATCGACGCATTAATGGTCGGTCCCACTGTGCAAGAAGATCTCTTTTCTATTTTAGTGAGATTCCGCACATTTCCTATCGCCCTCACGGCGGATGTAAGCAAAATGTATCGGCAAGTATTGATAGATCCAACTCAAACTGCCCTGCAGCGCATCTTGTGGCGGGACTCAGCAAACTTATCAAAACGTTCGAGTTAGTTACCGTAACATACGGTACATCTGCTGCATCGTTCCTAGCAATCAGAGCTATGAGGAAACTTGCCGAAGACTATTCAAAACAATATCCGATTGCATCAAAAATCGCGTTAAGAGACTTCTATGTCGATGATTTGGTCACAGGAGCAAATACCGAAGAGGAAGCAATCTCAATCAAGGAAGAAATCACTCAACTATTGCAAGAAGAAAAGTTCGAGTTGAGGAAATGGGCATCCAATGCATCATTCCTCCAAGATGAGCAATCTATGGAAGAGGACAGAGAATTCATTTTAGCATCGGACAAAAAATCCGTGAGACGCACATTGGGTATCACTTGGAACTGTCAGTCCGACACATTCAAAATCACCAGTATCGTTCATTTACCATCGATAGAAAGGCCTACAAAAAGAAGCATCTTGTCACGAATTGCTTTAATTTTCGATTCACTCGGATTACTAGGTCCAATCACAGTGACAGCAAAAATTATAATCCAAGATCTCTGGCGTCTGAAGCTTGATTGGGATGAATCTATTCCTCTCGAGTTAAACACCAAATGGAAACGATACGAAACGGAGCTACAAGAGCTGCGAAGCATACATATACCTAGGCACGTCATACCTGCAGACCAATACACTCATGTTGAAGTACACGGTTTCTCCGACGCCAGTGAAGTTGCGTATGGAGCATGCATTTACCTACGCTCCACGACAGTCAATGGTGAACATTCTACACGATTGCTCTGCTCTAAATCCAGAGTAGCACCGCTAAAGGATTTATCTTTGTCACGCCTTGAATTATGCGGGGCGCTGTTATTAGCACAACTCGTCAATAAGATCTCAAGATGCCTTCCTTTCACCACAAATCACGTCAATCTTTGGACAGACTCTACAATCGTACTATCGTAGTTACAATCTCCCAGCAGAACCTGGTCAGCCTTTGTAGGTAACCGCGTAGAAGAAATACAACACTTAACGCCTGTTCAGTCATGGAATCACGTATGCAGTGGAGATAACCCTGCGGATCCTCTGTCAAGAGGCGTCATGCCAGCCTCATTGGCTCAACAAAATATTTGGTGGACAGGACCTTTGTGGCTCAAAGATAATAAAGAAGAATGGCCTTAAAGTTCCGTTCCTACTCAAGTAAAGGACCTTCCTGAAAGAAGATCGAAGACCATCGCCGCAGTTACTGCTACGTCTCAAGAGTTTGACATCTTCAATCGCTACTCGATGTTCACAAGGCTCATTCGAGTGGTCGCTTACATTTATCGGTTTGCAAGAAATTCAAGGAAGGCAAAAACCAAGACCCAGGATATGCACGCACCTTCGACAACGAAGAAACATATTATTTCACCAATCACACCAGAAGAACAGAATCAAGTCATCATTCATTTATTAAGGATAATTCAGACAATTTACTTCACCGCAGAAATAAGATCACTTGATAAAGGGGAAGCCATAAATAAAAACAGTCCCCTCCTAAAACTGAATCCTTTCATTGACGGTTCTGGAGTCTTGAGAGTGGGAGGTCGATTAAAAGAAGCAACACTTCCATACTCGACAAAATACTCGATATTACTGCCTAGAAACCATCCATTCTCTAGGCTTGTGAGACACGAACATAAAAAAACACTTTCACGCTGGTCCACAGGCCACGTTAGCAGCAATACGTGAAAGGTTTTGGATCATATCAGGACGCAATCTCGTTCGACAAACTGTTCAAAAATGTGTCACTTGCTTTAGAAGTCAACCTAAGGCTGCTTCAACGATTATGGGAAATCTTCCAAGGGCACGAGTCAACATTCCTAAGAGGGCATTTGACCAGTGTGGCGTAGACTACGCAGGTCCCTGCTATTACAAGAAGGGCACTAGAAGAAATGCCAAGCAAATAAAATGCTACATCGCCGTTTTCATCTGCTTAGCCACAAAGGCAATCCACTTGGAGTTGGCTACCGGCTTATCTTCCGAAGCATTTTTAAACGTCTTCAAGCGTTTTATAGCCAGAAGAGGTTGTTCGTCTGATATTTATTCGAACAACGGCTTAAATTTTGTAGGCGCTGACCGCGAATTGAGCGAATTATCCGACCTACTCAAGAACCAAACAACTCAACAGCAAGTTAGCGATCAATTGGCAGATAAAGGAATTCATTGGCACTTTATTCCGCTCAGAGCACCTCACCACGGTGGTATATGGGAAGCTGCGGTAAAGGCAGCCAAACGCCATTTAGTTCGAATGACGAAAAACTCTACTTTAAAATATGAAGAACTAGAAACATTTCTCATTCAAATCGAAGCAATATTGAACTCTCGTCCAATTACTCCACTTTCATCAGACTCTAACGACCTAAGTTCATTAACGCCAGGGCACACGAAAAAAAAAGATTAGTTGCAGCAGCAAGAATTTGCATGTGGTAGCTAAATTTCAGTCGTAACATATGGATACCTAAAACTTTAGCAGTGTGATCCATTTTATTTAGCTGTAAACGTTGTAGGTAAGAGTGACAAAAATTTAGCTACCGTAGACACTGCATGAAATGGCTATAGTACAACGCGCTGTAATGGTTAGCACATAATTGTATGTGGGAGACATAAGTTTTGGTACTATTGATAATATTTTAAGTGCCATTGCAAATTTGAGTTCTGATCCAAAGCTAATACTGTTTACATGACAGCTACTTTAATTTGCACCATGATTTATTAGGTTAGGGATTTCCTGGTGGAAATAAATCGCTAAAATCGCTAAAGTGTT